CGCGCCCTGCCTGGCCGCGCTCGGGTCGGCGGGCTCTATGGGGAAAGCGGTCGCTCCGAGCCGAGGCGCCGGCTGCGGCGGCCGCTCCCGCGGACTCTCGTCGCTGTTCACCGTCGTCCCTTGCCTGTCCTGCCACACCGCGGCTCCGGGCATGAGCGCTCACACGTCCGGCTCCGGATCGGAGCCCAAGCCTCCACCTCAGCCGGTGTGGGTACCGCAGCGGGAGTTGCTGCCCGAGCAGGTGCGGGAGCCAGTTTCCGACTCGAAGCCCGGGCACCGACCGAAGTCTGCGCTGGGCTCGGCGGCTGGGCAGGGATCGGAACCGCCGGGGACGCGTCTGGGGTCCGAGTCGAGCCCAAGGCTGGGGGCCGGCGGGCCCGGCAGCAAGGCCATGGAGCAGGCGTCCCCGCCGAGGTCCGCAGTGGGGGCTGTGCCCGCGCCTCTCCCCGAGTCCGGGTTGGCGACAAAGGCCGTGCCACCTGGACAGGTGAAGACCGCGCTTGGGGCTCCGGTGTCTGGCACGACCCCCAGTGTCCTGATGTCTTCGCCGCCCCTCGACAGCTACAAGGGCTGGCTTCTCAAGTGGACCAACTACCTGAAGGGTTACCAGCGCCGCTGGTTCGTGCTTGGCAATGGCCTGCTGTCCTACTACAGGTATGGAAGGGCCGCGGTGCCACGTCTGAGGCTGGAGGGTGGCGCAGCCGCCCGTGAGGGTGACGCACGGACGCCACCACCCGTCTAGGAATGTTTGGGAGCCTGGACTCCCTCGGCAGGCCAAAAGTTGGGGGTCCTGATCGTCTCTGGTAAGGGTGGTCATGACCCCTGGCCAGCTTAGATTTATTTAAAGGGAGAGTGGAGAGGAGGCGTAAGAGAGCGACCCAGGGCTTCAGCCCCCGGCTAGTCTTGATCATTGGGGGGGGGGTGTCTGGGAAGACCAACTAGAAGTTAGCCCCCAAGTCACTGTCTTTTCTGGTTGAGGAGCTAAGGTCATTGTGTTGGGGATTGAGGGAGTCCAGGTCACAGGGTGCAGAACTCGCTGAAGTCCGCTCCTCAGGCACTCACTCAGTTTTTCTCTCACCTCTTCTAAGACCTGCTGGTGCCCAGGTGACCCACAGATAACTCTTACATAGCTCCCGCTCTTCCAGAACCCATTTTGATGTTTTTTGGGGGAGAGAACCAGGAAGTGTTTTGCTATCTCCTCTCTCATCCTCGAAGTGCTCAGGACTGAGAATTACAGCTAACCATCCCCTCACTGGTTCTGGTTAGAAGGGGGAGGCACCTGCAGGCTTCCTTCCTTTTGTTCTGGATGTTCCCTGGGTACCTTTCCTGGGGATGTTTTTTGTTTGCTCTGTGCTGGTACTCGGACTTGAACTCAGGGGATGGACACTATCCCTTAACTTTTTCACTTGGGGCAGGCCCTCTAGCATTTAGTCCACTTCCAGCTTTTTGGTGATTACTTCAAGATTAAGAGTCTCACATGCTTTTTCTGCCCAGGCTGGCTTTGAACTGTGATCCTCAGATCTCAACTTCCTGAGTAGGGAGGATTACAGGCACCAGTCATCAGTACCCAGCAATTTTCCTGGGAGTAATCAATCGAAGCTTGGCAATCTCAGATCACTGGAGACCAATAGTTCTGAAACCTGAGCTTGCAGCAGGATTCTTGGAGTGGTTGTTAAGACTGAGAGCTGGGCCTCTGGAGTGAGGTTCTTAAGCAGGGGGCTTGGGGAAAGGTACCACAGGCTGACTTTTCTAACGAATTCCCAGGTGGGCCCCCCATCGTGATGGTCTCCGATCACACTCTGAGCAGCTCTACTTCATCTTGCAAGTGGTTTTTAGGTCACCTGGCTCCCTTCACCTGGGCAACAGGTTTATGTGGTGCTTTGGGGACACAGCTGCAGTAGAGGCTGTTCAGTTTATGATAGTGTTAATAGAAGGAAAATGTGGTCTCTCCCCGCCTCCCCCCCCCAATCCTGGGGCTTGTGCTCTGAGGCACTATCCCTCAAGCTTCTTTTGCTCAAAGCTAGTATTCTACCACTAGTAGCTAGTAGCACCACTTCCAGTCTTTTCTGTTTGTATATGGTACTGAGGAATTGAACCCAGAGCTTCATGTATGCTAGGCAAGCACTCTACTACAAAGCCACATTCCCAGCCTGAGAACGTGATGTATTTCTTTGTTTTGTTTTGTTTTTTGGGGGGGGGTCCGGTCATGGAGCCTTAACTCTGGGCCTGGGCACTGTCCCTCAGCCCTTCAGCTCAAGGCTAATGCTCTATCACTTGAGCCACAGCGCCACTTCCGGCTTTTTTTCTTTTTGCTTATGTAGTGCTGAGGAATCCAACCCAGGGCCTCATGCATGCAAGGCAAGCGCTCTACCACTGAGCCACCTTCCCAGCCCACGTGATGTATTTCTAATGAATCTTTCTCATATTGTATTATAGTGGGCCTTTGTCAGCTGCACTAGAAATACAACCTAGAACACATTGTCTTTAGAGTTAAGAGACTGAGCAAAAAGAGGTCCTTTTCCAAATGGTGTTTTGTGTTTTTTTTAAATCTCTTTTACCATTATCTGTCAGTTAAGTACATATTTTACCATCTAAACAGACAAAGACTAGGACCTGGTGAGTTACTGGGTCATTTTTTCTCGAAGGCAAAGGACTTGATACACGGGACCTGCAGCGGTGGCCCCATGCTCCATTTTCTGTTATAATCATTCATTTCATTCTCACACCTCACAGTGTGAGGGCAGTTTCAATATTGTCTTATTGCACAGATGAGATCTGAAGTTTGAGAGGTGATCATGTGGTCATCCAGTCACCAGCCCAGTAGCCAATGGAAGGAGATCTGCTCCAAACTTCTTCGACTCAGTTCTTCCCCTTCCCCCCCCCCCCCGCCCCCCATCCTCCCAGCCCTCCCCCTTTCCCCACCCCCGGTGTTAATGGAGTTTGAACTCGAAGCCTTGCTGTTGCTAAGCAATGCTCTACCACTTAAGCCACACTCCCTGTCCATTTTGCTTTAGTTTGGTTAGGATTTCATGGTTTTTCTCAGGACTCTCCTCACCCTACAATTTTCCCACTTCTTGTCTCTCCAGTAGCTGAGATTATAGATGTGAACCACAATGCCCAGTGGACTCAGACTTCTTACATGAGCTCAACTCTCAAAAGCCAGCTTTTGTAGCAGCTGGATACCGCAAAAGTATTGTAAAGTCTTGACAACATTTCAGGGACAATTTTGATGAAACAGTCCCTGAATGTGTGACCCTGAATGTGCAAGTCTGCAAGGATCTGATCCCAGATCCATCGTCATTATCTTCTCACCCTGGAATCCAGCATTTCTGTGTCTGTATTTCCCAGGTCTTCACTAAAACTGTAGAGGGCAAGGTAATGTTTAGGAGCATGTGACCCCGCAGTGACAGACTTGCCCCATGGCTTTTCTGTTTTATCTTGTTTTCATTGGAAGAGCAAAGATGTCCCATTTTCTATTCTTTTAGTCTGTATACGCAGTTGGTGTTGGAAGATAATCTCAAGTATGCAGATTCTCTGGGTAACTAAGAACAATTCTTCCTGCTAGCTGATAACGTAGTGGAGGTAATGCCTGTTGGGGGAGGGAGTAGGCAGTCCGTTGCTTGTGTGTGTGCAAGGCTGGACTTTCATTTCTGGATAGTTTTAGATTCCGAGGTAGGTATAATTGCTGCTTGATTCACCTACTTGGGTTTGAAAGCCAGGGCCTCACACTTGCTAGAAAGGGGCTCTGCCACTTGACCCATACACTTAGCCCTTTCTGCTTTAGTTATTTGGGGGGGGGATAGAGTCTTGTGTTTTTGCCTGGACCAACCTGGATTATAATTGGCTTAATACCTCTCATGTAGCTGGAATTACAGGTGGGCACCACCTCATCTGGCTCTCATTGTTTGGTACTCTTAATCATATGTCTCTTCAGATACCAAGAAGAGGATGTGGCTTTTCTTTTCATGATTTGGCTGTTAATTCCCATTTTAAGCATTTTATCCCTAGTTCTTGTTTCAGAGAGAACACGTAATTACCTAATGTCAGGAAGGATTCATCACTAAGCAATTTCTTTCTTTCTTTCTTCCTTTCTTTCTTTCTTTCTTTCTTTCTTTCTTTCTTCCTTCCTTCTTTCCTTCTTTCCTTTCCTTTCCTTCCTTCCTTCCTTCCTTCCTTCCTTCCTTCCTTCCTTCCTTCCTTCCTTCCTCTCTCTCCCTTTCTCTCTCTCTCCCTTTCTTTCTCCCTCCCTGTCTTTCTCTCGCTCTTTTTCTTCTTTCTTTCTTTCCTTTCTTTCTTCTTTCTTTCAACTTTCCTTCTCCTTCTTTCTTTCTTTCCATAAGTCGTGGGGCTTGAACTCTGGGCCTGGGTGCTGTCCCTCAGCTCTTCAGCTTAAGGCCACTGCTCTACCACTTGAACCACAGCATCACTTCTGGTTTTCTGATGGCTTATTGGAGATTAGAGTCTCACAGACTTTCCTGCCCAGACTGTCTTTGAACAGTGATCCTCAGATCTCAGCCTCCTGAGTAGCTCGGATTACAGGTGGGAGCCACCGGGTCTTGCTGCAGATTGATTGATTGATTGATTGATTTTTGCTAATCCTAGGACTTGAACTCTAGGCTTGGGTGCTGTCCCTGAGCTGCTGCTGCTTCTTTTTTTCTGTTGGTCATAAGGCTTGAACTCTGGGGCTGGGCGCTGTCCCTGAGCTCTTCAGCTCAAGGCTAGCGCTCCCTACCATTTGAGCCACAGTGCCACTTCTGACATTTTCTGTGTATGTGGTACTGAAGAATTGAACCCAGGGCTTCATACATGCTAGGCAAGCACTCTACCACTAGGTCACATTGCCAGCCCCCCTGAGCTTCATTTTGCTCAAGATGAGTGCTCTACCACTTGAGCCACAGTGGCACTTCCAGCTTTTTTGAGTTGCTTATTGGAAATAAGAGTCTTCCAAAGTCTCCTGGCCAGGATGGCTTGGAACTGCAATCCTCAGATCTCAGCCTCCTGAGTAGCTAGGATGATAGGCATGAGCCTACAGCACCTGGCTTGAAACAGAATTTTCAAGGGTGGGGGCTGGGAAGTTGGCTCAGTGGTAGAGCGCTTGCCTTGCATGCCTGAGGCCCTGGGTTCGATTCCTCAGCACCACATAAGCAAAAAGAAATGGTGCTGTAGCTCAAGTGGTAGAGCGCTAGCCTTGAGCTGAAGAGCTGAGGGACAGCCCCAGGCCCAGAGTTCAGGCCCCATGACCGGACCCAAAAAAAAAAAAAAAAAGAATTTTCAAGGGTGTTAGCTTAAGCAAGTTCTTATGGAGTATCCCAAACACAACCCCCACATTAAAAACAAAATGGATTATGTTGGGCAAAATTCTGTCTTGTATACCAGAGGTTTGTTTAGTGGCATTATAAATGAAATGTTATCTAAGGGAGTGATTTCAAACAGGAACATTTATCTTAATTTGTTGTTTAGGTTGATGAATATTTAGTGATGACTACACCAGTTAGCAAGAAAAGCCTTAAAGAAATTAGTCTAGGTCTTAAAAGTCTACTGTCAAGTAAAAGTATTCTTTTTTAGTGTTGGGGTTTGAACCCTGAGCCTTGTGTTTGTTTGGTTTGCTTTGGACTGGTGTTTTACCATTTGAGCCAGGCCTCTAGTTTGGGTTT